GTTCAATACAAAAACATGCATACATTTAAGAAGACCAGAAATGCCCTAATAAAAGGTAAAAATTGCTTTGAAATCAGATTAAGGGGACAAATATTGCCTCAGTGGAAAACTTAATTCTGTCATGGCTGTGATCATTTTAGACAATCTCAGAAAATCGCACGCTACACGCCAAAAGAAAAACAACAAAAAACAAAAGGCAAAATGTTCTTCACTTTATCAAAGTCAAAAATATCACAGTGTATCTTTCATCACCATCGGCAAAGGCTATTATCAGGCCTGGGAAAGCATTCATGCATAGCTCAGCTCTTAAATATTCAGATAACAAAACCAAATTAATGTGTGGATTTATGTAGTACCTGATTCTATAGGTGAAGAAAAAGTGTGGTGGATGGACTGAACTGAGTTCTGGCAGGAAGGAGGTAGAGACTGATACTGTGATGTCACCAGTGGTTGCCACACAGCGCTTGTCATGAACATACCTGAACAAACATAAAGGGGATAAAATGTAGTGGGGCAATTATAACATGCTTTTGTAGTTTTAAATGCTGACATTAGTTACTAAAGCCTTGTTCAGACTGTCAGTCCAAATCAGATTTTTTGCATATCTGATTGTAATCTGATTTAAATGTTTGACTGTCCACACTGTGTATCGCATATATTCAGACACGCTTTGTGTCCCCATGGCACTTTTTCGTTTTACTATCTGCATTGGTTTTTATGGCAATGACATTGCATTTGGTATGCATACGCTATGCAAAACAACCATAACAGCAATACAGTTTGCAAAACAGATGTTGTCTTACATTGTGACAACATATTGCAGTTGCACTGGATCATATGCATCTTATGAGGCAGCGGCAGAAACGTAGGAAGCTGGAATGTGCAGATTCATTCCATGCTGCCATCTCAAAACTCAAAGAGGTGGGTAGACCAGCAGTACATTGTCATTTTCCACTTGACTTGCACTTCGCAACAACACAGCCTTGTTTCTGCAAAGAAATTAAGCATGTTTTCTACAAACAACGTATGACGTATTTACGTTATACGTGGTGTGAGAAAGTGACAAGCAAAAAAGCTTCGCTAAATCTGATCTGAGTGGTCAGACAGAAACGGATTTCCAGAAAAGCGATTTGAATAAGATTTCAATTCACATATGGAGTGAGCTTGAAATGGATTTGTAGAAATTGTATTTCACATGATTTTTTGTCTTTCAGACTTGCTAAATATGATCGGAGTCCAATGTACAAAAATCGGATTTGGACTGACAGTCTTAAATGTAAGATAACGAAAGATGGACCACCTGAAGATCTGGTCCCGAATGATGGGGTATTCTCCTGTTACAACATTGTCAACATAGGAAGTAAACCACTTAGTAAAATTAGGGCCTGATAAAAAGAAAAGAGGAGAGAGAGGAGTTCATATAATCCGAGACGGTTTATAAAACTGCAATGCAGTAATGAAAGCTTTTACACTTTGTTACCCATAATGAACATGTCAATCGCAGAGGGATCTTGTGCCAGTTGATCCTGTAAGAAAAAAA